TTTGACTTAATTTAATGTAGAACTGTCACAGTCTACTGATACCACTGTTTGATTGTGTTTTTCAACTCAACTTCCCTTTCTGAAAGATGAGATATTCAATGGTCATATTTGAGTAGATAGGTTTGACTATTGCTGTACAGAATCATTGTGTTCTATTCTACAGGAACTCCAGTTTTCAGGTTAGTATACTAATTAGTTTGATTTCAATTTCATCTCAGTCATCTTATTTGGTCGCCAATGTTTGAAAAGTTTACATCAAATATCTTCATATACAACACATCCAGAAAAACCCCCACCAACAACAAGAGTTGTCCATTTCATCTAGCTCTGTTATATAGCAGGTAACCTCGAATCTTCTTATAAAGTATGCTTTTACAGGCGAACCTCACGTAAGATTTTATATGTGATAAGTGATACGGATAATCTCGATCCATTGCTCTCACTGACTTGAATTATCTTGCACTTCAATAACAAGTGGCTATAAAATGCCTGAGGGGTGGGGCGTAATCCCTACCGCACATTACACCTTGTCCCAACTCGAGCCCCTTCAACGTGCTTGTCGACAATAAAAAATCTCGAAATACTCCTTTTCCGTGTTTCCTAATTCCCGTATCTTCATCACCCATATACCCACTGCTCATACTTTTCAACTGAAGAATAAAGTCGACAGTAAAAATTTAGAGAAATTCAATGCTTTGATAATCAACAGTCCTCCACCAAATACAACCATTATTCCAGCAGCAGATACTATCATTAAAGTCAGAGGAGACGACATTCATTGGACTCCAATGACTGCCAAAGCCATCTACGACCATTGGATGAACTTCGTCACAGATTCCACAGCACCTTTAAACTGGGGGCGGGGGGTCCCAATGTTTGTCTTCAGCTTGGAAAAACAGTTGTTAATTTAAGCTCTAGAGTTCTCTCTCCATGTAAACAAAAAGTTTTAGATAAAGGGCTTAAATTCATACCTACCAAGAAACCTTTGTCACACACTCCACTAATTGAAGCCACAAAGAGATTCCAGAGAAATTTAAGGTTAAACTATTTCTACAGAAACACGCCTTCTCGTGGTCCGATCACCAAGTTTGTTGAAAAATCGAAATTCACACCCGTGGATAGTTGTATAAACAAAAGCATTTTGGATACCTTTCAGGAAATGAATGATGAAATATCTCGTTTGCCTATAGTAAACGAGAAAGACAACCTTTCGCAAGCGGAACGTACTGCTTTGAACGCTCTAAAACATGACAAGAATATTGTTATCAAGAAAAGCGACAAGGGCAGTTGTTGTGTGATCTTAAATAGGCAGGATTATGTTAAAGAAGCCGAATCTCAATTAAGCAATCCTGAACATTACACTCGTTTGCAGGATCCGATCTACAAAGAAACTTCTAAATTAATAACAAATATTTTGAAAAATTTACTTCAGAAAGACTACATTAAGCAAAAACAATTTTTTTATTTAAAGCCAGAAAAAGAACCACGTCAGAGACATCCTTATACCCTCCCAAAAATACACAAAAATCCTGAAACTGAGTGGTTCTCTCCAAATAAAATTCCAAAAGGTCGCCCAATTATTTCCGATTGTGGAAGCGAATCGTACATGGTATCAGAATACATTGATCACTTTTTACTGCCTCTTGCCTCAAAACATCCTGCCTACATCGAAGACACCAACGACTTTGTGGAAAAGGTAAAGAAACTCGTGATCCCAGAAAATGCCCTTTTAGTCTCTTTAGACGTTCAAAGCATGTATACTAATATTGACAATGATTCTGGATTACGCGCTGTAAAGCAGGCATTCGAGCGAAAGCCCGATCCTGATAGACCAGATAAAGAAATTTTTGAACTTTTGGAAATTTGTTTAAAATGTAATGACTTTACTTTCAATGAAAATATTTATCTTCAGGCTTCAGGAACTGCCATGGGAAAACGCTTTGCGCCCTCTTATGCAAACATTTTCATGGCAGAATGGGAAAGAGAAGTTTCACTCCTCTGTCCCAAACTACCAATTTTTTATGTAAGATTTCTTGATGATATTTTTTTTAATTTGGACTCATACAGTAGATGAATTTTGGGAATATTTTGATACTCTCAATAGCCACAACCCTTCTGTAAAATTAACTTCTAATATTAGCGACAAACAGATTGATTTTCTAGACACCACAGTTTTTAAAGATACCAATTTTCATGAAACCAATCAATTAGATATTAAAGTTTTTTTTAAGCCCACTGATACTCACCAACTTTTATTCAAATCATCTTTCATCCTAAACATAAATTTTCTGGCATTATAAAGTCGCAGATCTTGAGATTTCACCGAATTTGTACGCGCAAGAAGGACTTCGAGGAGGCTTGTTCAATTGTTTTCCAAAAATTGCGCGAACGTTGATATTCTAGAAGGTTCTTGAGAGGTATTAAAAGCTCAACAGTTGCTGAAATCTCTGCTAAAAATAATTCGATTCTTTTGCCAATACCAAATTCTTCAGTTTATCCTTGTAACAACCCTCGCTGTCAAACCTGTCCCTTCATTTTACCAACAAATTCTTTCCGAAATAGACGCACAGATTCCATATTTCAAGTAAATGAAAAACTCAACTGCAACAGCAAAAATATTATTTATGTCATTTCTTGCACAAAATGTTACGAACAATACGTTGGGGAGACAAAAAATTCGTTAAGGGTCCGTTTCAACCATCATAAGTCTGACATCAACTTAAAAAAAATTAATAAAACCGTTTCAAAACACTTCAATCAACCGGATCGCCAATTAACAGACCTGAAAATTATTCCCATTGAACAGATATACGAACAACCTGGCATTGATACAAAGAAAATTCGACTCATTCGCGAAAATTATTGGATAAACAAATTATAAACCATGCATCCTTTAGGAATGAACATCCAAGTTGATTTCCAAATTATACCTTTTGTTATTTAATACAACAACACAGCTGGTCAACTTCCCCGAATAATTATCCGTCTTTACAAAGAATTGCAGGAAAAATTTCCAACAGTCTTTACAAATGATTTAGTTATCGCCTATACCCGTAATAAAAATCTAAATGATATCTTAGTCCGTGGTAGATTACCCCCCATCCCCCTTCCATATGTTTAGTACATTTCCTTTAATTAATATTTCTTATTTATGATAACTTACAATTGAAGAGTTTCCTCGCAAAAAATATCATACATGTATACTATTTTCACTTAATAAATTATATATATTTTTTTTATATGAAATACGCATTTTCCTTTTTATTTAATATAGGACAATTCCTCAGTTTCACCAGTGTTTATTATGATTTCCATGGTTATTAATGTTCCTGTTGGAACCAGTATTCTTCTTACATATTTCAGATTCGGAAGATAATGGATTTGCATTGCAAATATTCTATATCATTCTTTTAAACTAACTTCACAAACATTGCTCTATCACTAGAGGTTACGCCTACATGCCTGTGCCTGTGCTTTCGTAACATTGCTTAACCGCAATATTACAACCTTAAATTCCCAGTTTACTATTGTTTGATATGATTGTATTGTTTATTTCTAAATGTTTTTATCACCAGTAAAAAGAGTCTGGCCTGGGGTCGAGATTCGTCTAATATTTATTATAATATCACCTCCTCTTATCTTGTCCTTGTTAATTTAAAGATACAGTTTGGTTTCTTACTATTACTGTGGAATTTCTGATAACCCAAACAAATATTTCATGCCCAGTGATTGAGAAAAATATTAGTGTATTTATGATAATTTTCACCACCTAAACTGAATTTTAAGAAACCAAACCATGACTTTAAGTTAAATTATTAATGGTATTATAGTAGAGTATATACGATAATATTGTAAGATAGTTGGGAAGATATTAGATATTAGACTAGAACTAGAGAAATAACACTGTCTGTATTAATTAATATATACCTTGATAGTCTAAATTCACATCAGTATTATTTTCTACATCAATAATCTTGTGTGAAAATTGTTTTTATAAGTTTTGTATTTGTTGATTTAAAAAAGGTTGTTGATTGAAATGTGAAAAAGTGAGGATTATATATAAATAGTGTGTAGCCTAGAGGATATACCTGAATTCAATATTCAATATATTAACTATCCACGTTTATATTTGATGTCTGAGTCAAATTATGTTACAATGCTAAAGGTGTTACCAATAATAAATATATCGCCAGACTGCGGTTGTTAACAATTCCAAATTGATTCAAAAGTCTTCATTGATCTCAACTTAAAAATTCCATTAAATATTCATATGTTTATTGGCTCATATTTACAGCACGTGACATTTGTTTACATCAGAAACTGTACAATAAACATAACAACAACAAACAATAATAACAACAAATTAAAAAATAAATCATAGAAAAGTAAATAAATAGTTTATCTCTACAATATTAATTTTTATATAAATAATAAAATTCTCGAATGTAAATTCTCATTAATCATGAATGATTTTATAATGTAAGAGGAACTTATAAAACAGAATGCTCGAATGTAAATCTGAAATCTGAAGACGATATGTTTGCTAAATATCCTGAATTATAGATACTGAAATTTATCCCCATTTCTAAAATATTGATCCTGACGAGGACGATATATCGTAAATAAGATCCTGCCCACTCTACCCTATATAGATCAGTAGAAGGTATTTATGGCTGTATATCCTGAAATGTACCAGGCAATAAAAAAAAACATGTTAATGTAATGCAAGATTCTCGATTGTATTTAAAGGAATGTTTATCAGAAATATGTTATTAATCACTCTCTCTGATTAGTCATTACCTCAGTTATTTCCATTGTCATATACAGGTATGCATTGAAATCCTTGTTTAATTCTGACGGGCTTAAAAACCCTACAGATTTGTATTAGAGTGAATTTTCGTAAGACATTATACTGCAGAGTTTCGATCAACTCAATAGCACGTGCAATCCTCCCAACCACGTGTCAATGTTAATAAAGAGATTCTCTTTCCAATGTTTTTGTTGTGTTTTAATTGTGAAAACTTTGATAATTTTGACTATAAAAATGAAACTGAGAAACGTGAAATTTGGATTAAGTGTATTTTTTAGCGACGCCATGATGTTTCTGAAGTCTGGATAAGTTTATTTTATTTCTATGATACAAACCTGTATTTAACTGAAGAAATTTCAATCAAAATTTACCTTTAAACAAACTAAAACAACAATATTACATAATACACTTGTTTAACAATGAACACAAACAACAGACAAGATAACAGTTTAAACACCCGAACTCGACCGCAGAACACAATTAAACACCCGAACTCGAACACACAGAGGCACTATTTCTCAGGAATACTGCTTTTCCTCGCACTACTTCTTGATTTCATCGGATGTTTTAACTTTACGTGCGAAAACTTCTGCCATTTTTTACCGCGACTTGGGTCCGTTTGAGGGTCGGGCCCTTTCAGACCTTCCCTCATATAATGATGAAGAAGGTCTAAGATGGAGGGGGTCATATATCCCCCAGGGAAAATATAATATTGTATTTGTCCGTTAATATTTCGACAATGAATGGCGTAATGTCGGAGATCACTCAGATGACTGAAATTGAAAATAAGAACATTAGATATACAATTCATTTAACATTAAATAACAATTCCGAGCATTAAACGCTATGTATTTAATACGCATGTTGACTAGTGAGTAAACATCATACATACAGAACGTTTACTGTACTATTCCGAGTATTAAACGTAGGTAGTATAACACGCATCCTACTACTTGGACTTTCTGGGTATCAGCTTATTTTAGTGTAGGCATCTAAGAGCCATAGTTTGGAATCCCCCTATAAAATAATGACAAATTTCTGTCACTGCCAGTGATTTCGAGACTCCGTGTGATATCTCACCTCAATTCACCCCTTCAGATAAAAAAAATAGCATACCTGACAGTAATGACGAAAGTATTGTCTTTCATTCTCCATACCATAAAATTACCGTCTTCATTTTTATATTTATTCATTGTCGACGAAACCTACAATTGATAAATATTCTTCAATAAATCGATATTTTATAAATGTTTTTATAGTATCTAGATAGAAAACTCCCAGTTAGGAATAAAGGAGTGGGTACTATAAATATATAGGCCTACTATAAAACTATAATCATAGGATAAGAGATATACTTACATTTCCCTCCGAAATACTAGCACACCATCCAGGTACATTGCTGAGATCTGGAATGGCAGACGATGATTGGCTGCGCTGAATTGGTACAGGCTGTGACGTCACACGTTTTTTAGGCGGGAGAGTTTGTGGCAGGGTTTTGGATTGCGTCGTCTGGTCCTCGTCACTTATGTAACAATACTCGTTGTCAGGGGTCAGTACCATTGTGTCTCCCACACTGTGGCTGTGCACTAGGGGATAGGATTTAGTTTCCCGGGGCCGAGGCGGTAATGGACGCCGGGCAAGATTGGGCGAACCTCCGGCCATATTCATATAGGTACTGTCTATTGGTAAAGTTGTCGGTCGATTTTCAGATCCGCTTCCGTTACCGCCCATCTGTATATAGTCGTTAGACGTAGCACCTTGTGTGCCCATTGCGATGTATCCGTCTACGGAGACTGGAAGTCGACACTGAGCAGGACGTTTAGAGAGTTCCTCCTCGAGGCTGGTTACGGGCGTGTCGGAGTCGGTATAGTCACTGTCCGACTGAACGGACGATAAATACATCTCGTTCTGCTGCGGTTGAGCTTTCTTACAAGGTTTAGGGTTCGGTAATTCGCCCGTTTCCGATGCTTTTTTCTCGAAACTTCGTCGTAATGCAGTTCGTAGTAATGACTGTTCACAGGGTGGTGGTGGTTTTGGGGCAGCTGAAGCCGCCGCGGCAATACTAGCACTTGTAGGGAGGTCCATGCCTTTTGGTGGACTGTTTATAGGGGAGAGTGGGGAACTTAGTTCACTGGATGTACGCCTAGATAATACGAAACTATGTGGAATATAATCGTCTTCAGGACTGTTGAACGTACAAATTTCTAACGAATTCGCAGTGTCCATTGAAGATTCGATACTTGCGTTCGGATCAAACTGGTTAGAAAATGTCATACGACCGTTCTCCCAAATTAAATTATGTGTACATTTTTCTGCGTTACAATGAACAGAACCACAGCCGTAATTCACACCAACTTCTTCAGATGTGTCCATAGACGTAACGGAATCAAATTTCTTTAACGGTTCCGGATCGTATTGAATATCCGACATAGAATTACATTTCTTCAATGCGTTACAATCCAAATCTTTAATAATGTCTTTCTCGAAGTTTTTCTCTGTCGACAAACTTTTAAAATTTGTATCGTCGATACTTTGGCTGTGTTTTAAAACTGGATGCGTACTATCACTAATATTTCCCGCACCGTAAAGTTTGGCTTGCGTCAGGCTACTGCACGACCCGGTATCTATTTCCTTACGTTCCGTTAACGAATTCGTTGAGGAAGAAGGTTTCGGAGAATTACTACGAACACAAATACTCCCTGGACCATATGAACTAAAATTTGGTTGTGGAGATGAAATCTGCAAAACAGATAAACAAAATAAAATAAATATTTTCTCCCAAGGTAAAGTGGACAATACATAAAGATATGTGATCAGCCTAAACGACTTAAGTTCATCCTTATCGTAGAAAATTAGCTAAAAATTACGATACAGAGATGACAGAATATAAAACCGGCTACTAACCTCTGAGTTCTCGACGGGTATATTAGTAGGATACTGGGTAATCGGGTAACCGTAATGGAAACTAGATTCTAGGGTATAAGGGTACTGGTTATTTGAGACTGTACCGTATATAGAATCGCGACGTGAATCGTCGTACGGAACTCTTTTTAATGATAATTGTTTACCCTGGAAATAAAATATAGATTAAATTATTTTACATCTTACGTTTTTGTTTGGGTCTAAGAAATTGAATCATATACGCCCTTCTTCATAACCTGACCGCTACAACGTTCCTATAACGTTCCATGTTTCTCATATAGAAGCAGTGTGCAATGAGAGAAATTATTCTAGAGAATAGAGACTAATTATGGTTGTATTGTGTACATTTGGATAGCTGAGCCCCCCCCCCCCCCCCAGG